AAAAAATAGTAATAAATAAAAAGAAGTATTTTACTGAAGGATTGTGAGTGGTATTACAAGAATGATAAAGTTTGTGTGCAGCTTTGTCAACTTAAAATTGTTCTTCATATCTAAAAAGACAAAAATTTTAGAAAGCTTTCAGTTTTAGAGCAGATGAGTACTACTGATTGTTTAGTACCTTTTATAATCAAATACCATTAAATCTAATATCTCATGCTAGATGTTGCTCTACCTTTACACGTTGTAAGAACGTTCTAGGTCTTCTAGAAAAAGCCTGTTGATAATTTTCTGAAGAGCTGATCAGTCCTTAAAACCCAGAAACATTGATACTCATTTCACTGAGAAAGCAACACAGTACAGTAGGAACAGAAGGATTAAAGGAAAATAGATGGGGCAAAAAAAACCAACAAAACACAACAGGCTTACTTTTCATTTTGCACCACAATTGTTCAGCAAAATCCAGGTCTCCTCGTTCACTGAAGACTGATTTTATTGAACTGTCCACTGCAGCTGTGTCACATTTGATTTTCTGAAAGAGTTTATCTTAATTTAAAAAAGAATGCTTAAGATTCAAAGGCTTTATAGATATATACAGATAATTAAATAACTGCATGTGCACCTACCAGTGCCCAGGGAGGCCAAAATTAATATGTAGGCAGATTCTCAGAACAGGGAACTATTTTCCTGTTATCCAGATTCTCAATATTTCTGGTTTAGCTGATACAGAATCATTATATTTTAAAGCTTATGAACAAAATGCAACTTCCCTTTCAATAGGAAAAAAAAGACTCAAATCTTTTCTTCTAGACTGAAAGGGAAGAAATCTTAATATAACTAAAGATATTTTTATAATTTGAATTTGTCCATTGCTTTAGAATATCATAAAGCTCTAGATAAATAGGACAGATATCTAATTGATACTGTTAAATTAGGCCAAAATAATTAAATTAGGCAAGAAAACAAATTAATGATAGAATGCAATGGCGAAAAGGCCAGAGTTCCTGGAATAAACTATGACATCATGACAGTGATACTTTTAGAAGATGACAGACAATGGTTAAGACAAGAGAGTGAGATTGCAGTTGATACAATACAGTTCAATTTGCAAGGCTTTGGTAGTGAAAAAGGAAAGAAGCAAATCAAAATACCTTCATGCCACTAAGTTAAATAAAAAATGTGTAGAATGGACACTGGTAGACCATTTAGAATAAAAAAAAAACCCACAGGTTTTTCTGAAAGTGAAAATTCCAGTGGACTTTATATTAGAGGATAGCTATGGAATTCCTAATTTTGCCTGTAAGGCCTCCTTCCATTATTTTTATGCAGCAGAAACAGAAAGAGATCTATCTTTCTTTACATTTTATGTCAATGTATTTACATATATACATAAACAATATACAAGACAGTCAAAATCTGAAATAACTAGAGTTATAAGGGAAACAAGATGACAAGGCAGTCGGCAGGGGATTGCATATACCTCTGTTTCATTACTGTTTCCAGATATACAATATCCATCCAGTTTCTTCTTTAAATCTATGAAAAAAAAAATTAAAATCATCAAGCCAATTACATAAATCCCTGGGCACATCATAAGGGATGGCTGACTGGATGGCTAATAGACAAAATTTATCCATTTTAAGTTTGGTTTTACTGTGCTAAGCATATAGTCTGAAAATAAATTTTCTTAGTATTTTTTTATGATAAGCTTTACATTTTCCCCCATACACCTTTATTACATTCTGCTATCTAAGTATTAACTCATTAAGTTCCAGTGTGGAAGCAGTAAGGGGTAGCAGGTGGTCTAGGAAGCATCTCTGGTTTTCTTTCACATGTATTTGTCAGAAAGAGTTTTGGTTTGGTTTATCTTTTGTCTGTTTTATCCTTTGTCCAAGTTTTACGTACATGCTAAAATTTACAGTTGTATTTAACAATCTCTTGGTGCATTCCTACATCTGATTCTCTTTTAAGATTTGTTTTCTAATATCTCAAACTTCTGGCAGGACATATAATGTTCACAACAGTTTTCAGAATGAATCAGTAATTTTGGATGCTTCATTTTAAGATGTCATCCAAGTATTGTTTTCCACCACCAAAGGAACACTTGGCATGTTTAGAAGTTCATGTGCAAGTCTGATAACTTGAAAGATGCACCCAGAACTTTCTCAATTGCTTTCAAAACATAATTGTGTCATTTTATAAAGAAATAATTATTACTTTTACACAAGATATTAGGACAAAAAGTGTCAGTGATGTACTGACTGAGCTATTTAACTACTTTGTGCAGGTATTTATAGCATAGAAATTAACATCTCTAATTCTAATACTTTAAAAATTGCATGTGGAATTTCCTTTTATTTCTGTGAAATGTGACATTCCCCTCCCCTCACATAACAAGAACCAATTACCAGTCAGAAATTCCTGCACCAGTTCAACAGCTGATTCAGACTCTAAAGGCTCAGGCCACTCGGTCACACCTGTCTTCAAACCTTCTGCCAAAGCCTAAAGGCAGCATCAAAATCAAAACAACACAAATCAGTTCATGATTGAGGTTCTGCATGTGTCATATTTAAAATCATAGTTAACTTCCCCAAGAATCAAACCTCTCTCTGTACAGCTAGCCATGAATTTAGAAACTTCTTGCATTTCCTGGCTTCAGTGTTCATGATTTGTCCTCTTTGTATTAAAGATACATAAAACTGAACTCAAAGTTTATTCTAAACTAAAAACTTAAAGTTATCTTTGAAACATCTGATGAAGTTTTAAATAAAGTAAATTATTAACACACAAAATCACCATTCCATGTAAATCTGAAATTGGAATTTCTCACTTCTACTTACAAGGAGAAACTGCAGCTCTCTGTATAGCTGATACACAGGACTTCTGGGGTCTCCAGACTCCAGCGTAATGTTCTGAAAGTTCCAGAAGTTTTGGTCAGTTTCAAACTTTAGAAATCAAGTGTCTTAACATTTTCATTAGTGAAATGCATCTTAGCATAATATATAATTTAGATTATGAACACACTGTATTGCTTATATAAAGAATATAAGCATTGTATTGCTTATATACAGAATAATAAACACAAATGTCGAGTCAAACTTATTTGACTTATTATTTTTATTTTCTCTTCTTTACACTACTCATGACATAAGCTGTGCAGAGCTTGGGTTTGTTTGCTTTTTCCTTCTTGACTTACCAGTGTAGCAGCTGAAATTAGTGGAGGTGTCTCCAGAATCTTATCTACAGTACTCCACGTAATATCAACATATATATTGCTTTCAGATTCTACAATTGTGTCCTCTATCGCAGTAGCTCTGATAAGTTCATACTGAGCAAATCCTTTTGTCGTCACCTAGAATGAACAGACTTAAAAAAATAAAACACACCACAACACTGATTGTTTTGCATGCATGCAAAATAATTTTAAAGGCACTTCACACACACAAAAAAAAAGGGCTAATATCAGACAAATGCATTACAACATAGGGAGCTCAAATGTTACTTCAAAAAAGATTATTAACACTATGGAGTCACACTAAGGTTAAGTTTCTAAATAGAATCTATAAAACTTCCCAAAGCTAACCTCACAAATCTAAAACCAGAGTTTTTAAACCTAGGTTAGAAGCATGACAGACTGTAAACACCTACAATAGATGAATGATGTTTCATTTTATGTGCCATTTTGAGCTCTTCCAGATTTGCAAAACAGTTTTTATCAGCTGTAGGACCTAGGAAAGGAAAAAAGAAAGAATCAAAAAAACATTTGACAGCACTTAAAATTAATTCTCAAACACTCCAAGTATGACTTGTGGTGTGCTTTAAAAAGCAGGCATTCTTCTTGCATTTATCCTATCGATAACAAGAGCTGGTGTTAACATATAAATGTTTAGGAAGAGTCAGTACTTGTATAAAAGTTGAATGGTAGCAATTTAAGTTTGCTAAGTTACTGCACCTGAGCAAAGGCAGGCCTGCACAGATACTGCATTGAGTATATTAAAAAGTTATTCCCACTCCACAGCAGGGTTTTAAAATGTTTTTTTCTTTTCTCTCTTTTTGTTTTTTCTTGTTTTTTTAAAATGAGGAATATAGAGCAATACAAAGCCAACATCACTCAAAGGACAAAACCAGCATCACTACATCAATATCCCCGTATTTTTAAGCTTTCCTCATTCGATTTTATGTGTAACATCATGACCTTACCATCACATGTAACCATGTAAAAATTGATCCCTGTGATTTTGTTCCCAGCTTTGAGAGGCTCAGCTCCAAGCCAGCAAGTATGTTCAGGGTCAGAACCATCACATCTTATCCAGAGGGGAGGAAGCACAACCAGTTCACTAATGTTCAAGTGGGTCATGTTTGGATTTTGTACCATTGTATATAAGGAAATCAACTGCCTAAAGAGACGACAGGAAAAACAAATGACAGCAAGTATAGCTAAATGTCTTGCATAAAACTTAACTCCTACCCACCATGCTTCATTAGCAGACATCAAGTCACTTCACAGAAAGAATGCAGTATTCTTTCCACAGGTGGAACAATAAAGTCACAAGGGAGGAAGCCACATATCCTCACTCATAATATATTTAATATCATATTTTACTTTAAAGATTCTGAAATCATAATTGAATTTTACATTTTAAGCATGTTAAAAGGAGAAGTAGTTAAGCAAACTAGTCACCACGGTTTGATACCATGCCTTGGTATTTTAATGACAGCCAAAGACCCCAATCAGATTTCTGGGGGTTTTTTTTCTCTAACAGAAGCTGTACAAAAACAAGCACTGCAGTCTTCGTAAGCTCTCTTGCACACCTACACCCAGACTGTCCCATTAAGCTAATGGGTCAGCTCACAAGTGCTTTTCCAGTACCCTGATTTTAGCTGCGTTTTGTTAGGAATACTTTTAGCTAAGGGAGACCATTTTGCAGGATGAAAAACTCCTGTTTTTCAGGAGTCATAACTCCTCACTAAACTAATAAGTAATTTAATTTTGGGGGATTTAAAAATAATACAAGTTCTGAATATTAAGAAGAGAGAAAAAAGCTGCAAGAAGAAAATTACATCAAAAGGAGAGTCAGACTTTTCACACTTACTTTGCTCTTCTGACTGAAAGAGCCACTGGTCCAGAATTCTCCTTTGGTAAAAGCTCAGAGGCATAAATAGCATCGTCTGGTTTTGATTCTTCCACTGTGTCACTTTCTTCATTGTGTTGCTTTAAGAGAAATGCACAGGTAAGTCAAAAAATGCAAAGTATGTGAAAATATTTGATAGGAATTCAGGTCTAGTTTACTTTTAAAAAAATAACAACTAACATACACACTTACTGCTTTCTGTAAAATATATATCATACTGTTTCCATTCCAAAATCTTTCAATGGGATTTTTGCAACTACCACCAATCAAAGAGATCTCTACATCAGTCTGAAAAAAAACCAAAACAAACAAAACAAATCAACAAACCAGAACTTTTTAATGCACTACATATAAATTATGAGTTTCAGTAGGGTTTTTTATACCAGAAATTGCAAAATTAACTAATTCCACAAACTGGTTTCCAATCCTATTACAACCACTGATGAATCTAAGGCTTTACTTCTAGAGAACACAGTGAAAATGCAACCACTTTCAACTAGCCAACATAGGAAATTTAATCTCTAACAGGTTGATTCCATGAGAAACTGAAGTTTGGTTTGATTAAAAAAATTATAGATAATCTGAGATATGAGGGATCATTGTTGTCAAGTAGTGACTGCAGTCACCAGATATCCTTGAGATGGAGAATACTCACTTAAAATAACATTAATGTCAAATAATCACTTTTGTGAATGTCTCATGAGAACTCTACATGCTGTTTGGAGACATTTAATAACTCAAGCCTATTCTTGAGAACAAAGGAATATCAACCTTTACTTAGGCTTTTAGATACACACAGAGAAGTATTGCTTGATTCTTCACATCTAGTCAGCTTTTCACATTGCTGTATCTTTAAATAACTACCTGATTTTATCATCAAAGTATCCTGGAACTTGTATAAATTACAAGATTAACACAACTAAATAGCATTAGAGATTTTCCAGCCATCCCTACGTTTCCAAAAGTATTAGAAGCAACTACCATGCTCATACACATAACCCATTCCCTATAGAACTACTTAGATAAAAAGGGAAGTTGAAAGTTTGAAGATCTGGATTACCTACATGAAAATACAACCTCAGGGCAGCTGCTGCAGCTCTTTCCTCTCCTCCCAGCAGCCACCTACCCACTTTCTGCACTTCCCACAACCCCCACCCCACAACACTCTCACGTGTACTTGATCCTTACAATCATTTTAAACAAGTTAATTGTTAACAGGTGCAAGAAGAATCAGGGGAATGCAGGAATGAGCCGGCTGGTGAAGGTTGGTGCTGGCCCCGGGAGGGCGGCACTCTGGTACCCGGGTCTCCGTCCTGAGGGAGAGGCAGATCTAAAGAGGTATTGCTGAGGGAAAATTCCCTTTTTATGTGATATTTCTACACCTATATCAGCTGTTGATCCAGTGGCTGCTCATTTTAAATATACAGACTCAGGTTACATGGCTGTATTTTCATAAATTTACCTCAAAGAGATACGGATGTTCAGGGATCCTTTCTTTTCCTTCTTCGTATATTCTGAAAGAAAAATAAAAAGTTAAGGTACTTAAAGATTTTCCTCTGTATTCCTCATTAAACATTAAGCTTAATTGCATAAATTAAACCAACACGGGCCTGTCAGAGCCTCAGCA